TGCCGTCGACCTCACCATTCCCATGCCGAGTCACGCCATCTCCTCCACTTCGATCAGCACCGATCCAACCATGCAACCGCAGGTTGTCGTTGCCCGTAAGGCCTGCGAACAGTTGGACGAACTAATTCGCACCCACGATGTCGTGTTTCTCCTGCTGGACACTCGTGAAGCACGATGGCTCCCCACAATGCTTGCTACCTACCACTCCAAGGTCAGTGCCCTGATGGCAGCCTAGAATGCCCTTTCCTGATTGCTGCGGTATTTGTCCGCCGTCTGCTGCCTACCTGTCTGTCAGCATGCGTAAGCCGGCTGTCTATGAGACCAAATTCAGCATTACACTAGCATTAACTGTGCTTCTGCTGTTCCTGTTCATTCGACTTGCCTGACGAGTCTTCCGCGGTTTAGACTCTTTGATTTGTAAGATTTTTCCTATCCTTTTTACAAGTACTCAGATCACATTCAACCCTAATTTGTTCTATGAAGGGGAGGCCAGTGCAGGCGGTATTTTTACGGTTATTATGTTTCCTCGGCGCGCCTTGACCTCACTCTGTTACCAAACTTTTGCTCATTCGATCTGGTGTTCAAACTCCTAGCTCCGCGATTTGAGTATGCTTCGCATGTGAGACTATGCATAAGGCGAGGCGAACTCTCAATGGCCGCCTCTCCTAAAACTGAGCTTCAATCCTGCAGTTGGGAGTCCTGTTCTATTTCCAAACTGCCTTTTCATTCTTGCTCCCGTCTAGATTGCGATTACCACTGCGCTCGGATTCGACAGCTATCTGGTTATGCGCCACGGTCTACCGCGAAGCCCCGGAACTTCTCCCTCTCAGTCCTGCAACCAAGAGGTGGCGTTGAAAGCATCCGGTGATGGCCGTTTACGGCAACTTTCAGGCTCGCAGTTGGGTTGTTACTTCTGCAATGATGTAGTTGGTCCCTCAAATGTAAGCTTGGCATTCCCACACCCCATTATCTGCCTCCTGTAGTCCCTCCGAGATCGTACCCTCGATCAGCAGTGCACTGTCGCCCGGCCGGGAACCTCTATGATGGCCTCTGCGTTGGCCGTGGAGCTTTGTGTTGGTCTGCTCCATCACAGAGAAGGGTAATTTGGCGGCTGGTTGTGTTTTTGCAAGTAAACATTTTTATTGCTGACGTTTGTCCCCTTGGCTTTGCATCAGTGTTTGGGCCTCAAGGATTGTAAGCGCCTGCTACGCCAGCATTAGCAAACTATAGCCCTCGCAGCCTGGCACCAGAATCCCTGCCAGTAGCTGCGCTTGCGCTCCATGCGGGTATAAAGTTCGTGAGCATGGCTGCCCAGTCATCCTCGTCGTCTTTCTAGCCTGTTGTGGTACTGAGGTTGGTCAAAATCCTGGTCAAATGTTGGTTGTAGACCAGGGGGTGTTGTGGTACGCCCAGGTGCGGGTCCGGCCATGCCAGCCGTTAGTGTTCTCTCCCGCCTCCGGTCTTCATGACTTTGTAATAACACCGGGCTCAAGCGGGAGAGGAAGAGGGGGCGGGGTAGGCTATGCGCAAGTCTACTCTCACTAATTTATGCGTAGGTCACTGGGCCTGTTTCACCTTGCTGTGGAGCGCACGTTAGACATCGTCCGCAACGACTGTTGAACTGTCATATCAGTGTTTGTCCAATGTGGCATCAAGATCTGTTCTCTTTTCTTGACTTTCACGGGTCCTTGACCTTCCTAAACCCTCAATGACTTGGGAATCCTGAGTTTGCGTGGACGTCCTGCGTGCGCAATTCTGACCTGCTTAACTTGATTTTCGTCCCCATAATTGTCACTAGTAGACGTTGTCCGTCGGCATTCGATGGACTACCTCGAAGACTTCTTTGAAGTCCATTTAGTAGATAGCGTCTACCAGCCGCGCCTTATCTGATAAAATCTTCATTTGTTGAGTAGTCTGTATTGAGTCCACACGATGATGTTTTAAGTGTTAAAATTAGACATTTCGATGACGTCGTCATATGCAGTAGCGCAGGGCCCGCGCCAATACCTGCCGCCGACAACCCGAAATAACCAGCACTAGGGCGGCATTTCCGAGTCATTTTGAATTCCCGAGAGAGAGATTTGTCGTCAAATGCTCCTTCATACCAACGCCAAGTACACGACGGCTTTTGTGGCAGAGCTGGTGTGCTGAAGTTTATATTGAACGTCTATCAGTTCTTCATCCCTTATTCTTGTTTAATGTCATTTTTTCCTGCGTACAATGGTTTACAGTCAGGAAGTACAGGGACCGCTCTCTCGAAGGTTTGAAATAAAAAAACCACTGAGTGCTGTCCAGTCCATGATTACAATGACTATAACTAACAAGGAATCCTTACTTGCCACCTGACACCATACACACTACCTTCGGAGCAAACTACAACGTCTAAGCCCGTGTTTTTCTCTAGCCTCGAACAACAATGCTATTCACTAAGCAGTAGGATGCGGAATAGGAACACTAACCTAACCCTAATCTCCCTGAAATTTAGCTCAGGGTCACCTGTATTACGGGGGAAGAGGTTTCTTATTCCCATATCCTACTCGACAGTTCGACCGTCGATTTCGACAATGTTCACCGTGTGCTTCACACAAGGTGCAGCAAGCACGGTGACTTGCGCTTGAATTAGTTTATAGTGATAGTAGACTTGCGCAGCATCTATCGCACTCCCCTTTCCCCACTCGCCACCTGGACCTAGAGTCAAGAAGACCGGAGGCGGGGAGGCACATGTGGATGGCACGGTGAAGCCCACACTTTGGCGTTCCACTCTACACCCCCTGGTTCATACAGCAAATGACCAGGTTTTTGACCAACGACACCCCAACAGGGGTCAGATGGACGAAGACGATGACTATGCAGCCATGCCCACCGCCTGTACGTCCAGCAGGAGCGCAAACGCATCTACCGGCAGGGAACCAGGCGTCAGGGAACTGCCAGCGCATCCCAGGCTGCGAGGGCCATAGTTTGCTGATGCTGACATAGCACACGCTTTCAGACCCTTTGACATGTCCTACCCATTAGACCTAATTAAACCACTGGTTCTGATTACTAGTGTCATCTGATGAGACTGAAAGGTGAGTAGATTATGTCCCAACAGCCAAACCCAGTCTAGAAGTCAGTAGTAATAATACTGCCAGGAGGCGCCTCCCAAAAGTCAGCATGTCATTTGGACAATAGTAATAGTAATAATAATGGACTTCTCCCATGCCCTATAACGAAAGTGTCGGTCTATCCGCACCTCATCCGGACTTCGTTTCTAGGCATGTACCAGTACTGTTCTTGAACGCAAAATTAGAGCTTTGTTTACGCCGCGGCAGCATAATTCGCAGGCAGACTCGCGCCATTACGACCTTCAGGCCGGCTGCCGAATAGGAGTTGTGTGTCAGTAGGTAGAGCATTGCATTCTGTACGGAATGATTGGACATTGGGCCGGAGAGAATTGGCAGCCGGATGGGGGCTCTCGTCCGTGTCTGCACCGGCCTCGAAGTTAATTGGTCAAGAACCAGACTGTCATTTGTAGGCGCGTGCAAGTTACGCGCAAGAGGCGCAGTTTTCGAGCAGGGTCTCGGCAGGCTTAGTGTTGGAACAGGTACTTACTTGGTACGGCTGCGATCATTCCAGATCTAGCCGGCCTCGATGATGTCCGGAGCTGTACCTCTCCACGCCTGACGATCCGCGGCAGCAGATCTGGATCACTCAACCCATTCCCTTCGCCAACGACGGAGACCAAATACCGAAGGTCCAAGAAACACCTCCATGACTTGACGAACTGTGTCGGGCCAGGTTTTGATTTGACCCCCTCTTCGACGCCTCCAATGGGGTAACGGTGCCGGATCGAGCGCAGTAACACTGAGCTCCTGAGGTTGACGACGAAGAACATGTCCAAACCACAGTCATCTTTCTTGGAGGGTCTGGGTTATCCTTGCGATGCTGTCGCAGCGAGCGCGGACTGTCTCATTTGAGACGGAGTTGGTGTACTTTACTCGAAGGATGGTCCTCAAGCATGTTGGTGCAGGGTCTCCGAGTAGGGCCACTACAGCCATTCCCGTCGCTCTAGCAGCGGACCTCCTTGTCTGTCCTTAAAGTATAACTTGACTGTTATGACCTCATAAAGATTTTCACGAGCAGGCTTCTCCACACTAAAAACTCCAACTCTTCCATTGTAGAGCCTATGCACCGGCCTTAATGAAGGGATGTGATGATGGTCTTGCCTTGAATTCCAACACATTCGGACTCCTGCCGCATCAGGTTATGACCTATACCTTTTCTAGTTCCAACCACCTTTCCCACCCCTGTATTATCGTGAGAGTGCCGTCCACTGATCCATCTGGCTTCATGGCTGATCGGAATACGGACTGTCTACCTTCCCTTTGAATCCTCACAAGCGTTCGCGTAGGGACAAGCAATGTTTTGTTGCGACCTGGTGTTGGCAACAAGTCGCGGTTGCATTAACACGTGGAACTGCGCCTTGTTATTCCAACGTTGAAAGGCTTGTGGGTGGACCTTTTTGTCACAGTTCAACCAAATAGGACTTAGTTACGTGTCGTGCCTGCCATCGTTGGCCATGTTTTTGCTATTTTGACCCAATCGAAATTTGGATCCAGATTGTTGTGCCTTGATATTAATTATGATGTGTGGACAAAACGGTCTGACATAGCGAAGCATGCGCCATAGGCATGCACGTGGACACATGAAGTAGCACCTTCCTATTGCCATCCATCTTCACTCATCGTTGCTGGGGATGACCGTGTTCCTCATACCGACTGGTCGGTGAAGTGTTTTGGTGGTCGACTTAAAGTGTCCACAGAGGATGTGCCGAATCATCCTCTGAATGAATTTCGACAGTAGGGCGGGTTGGAGCGTTGTTGTCATGGTTGATTTAATTGTAGAGCATTAAAACCATTCGGGGCGGTTGGTGTGTGTGCAGACGTGCAAGTTTAAAAAATGCAAACAGTGAAGTTGTGCAAGGTGTCGAGGCTATTCAACTGACAGTTGCCATCACCATGCCTGAATACAGACCGTATGTTGCTTCAGTTTATCCCACTCTACGGCCACAGGGACTGTGGGGGTGGGTTAGCCGAGTTCGGTGAACTCAGTTCACACAGGTTCTGAGGTTGACGTTTTCCGGTCACTAGTGCCTGGGCTAGTCCAGAGTGTTGGACCGGTTAGGCTTAACACGGGGATGTCACGCCAAAATGAGCTCCATCTGAGACATTCGTCTCTACAGTGTGGGTAGATGCAAAGGGATTGGTCAACGTTGGCAGTGTTCCTGTGTGTTTCATTGCTTTTCCCTCCTATGTCTCCGGCGGATGCGACTGTGTCCAGTTAGACAAATCGGGCTTTAAAGCTCCGTTGACGGTGGGCCATGCCAGTAGGGCTTGGCAACGTTGCTCGTCAGTATTCGAGGGTTACAAGCCTCTGCCACCTCGCCTTGACCTCCGCGATCCGGTTGACTTCACATGCTGCCTCAAGCACGCTCCATCAGGCCAATCAGCTGAGGCCAAACTTTAGTCCGGGTGATGGAAAGAGCGCACGAAGTGTACAGTTATGAGAACTCGCTCATTTAATGTGCACACTTCTCTTTTTTTTCAGATACGGGGATTCTTGTCTCAGTTCTCCGAAGTTCTCCCCTGCACTAGGGCCTTCGCATCTTGCTCGGCTTGTTCGCAGCCGGTATGTCTTTTTTTAAATACTACAGCACTTCGCCGAAAACCTATTAAGTCTGTACTAGCACTTTGTAGTGCAAAAGGTCGCGCAGGCTGTTATTTCTTGACCAGGCAGGGGGTAAAACAATTCGCCGTGTAGTGGGTCTTTATGGTTTGCTATATAGAAGAAGTTTCCGAGCGCTGTGGATGACCCTGATGAACTGGAGTTTAGACTCCAACGACGTTACGTTAGACGAATGTTTTATGACACGGCCATCACATCACCCAAACATTGCGCTAACACATCTTGGCAAGAGGGAATTACCGCAGATGTGCTGTCACATGAAACATTAACCGACACCCTGAAATGTGTCTTCAATTCGAAAAGATCACCTAAGTAGGGTTGTTGTGTTAATTATCCGTGTCTCATAATACCAAGCTATTCCAGTCACGGCAGGATGCTGGCTTTCAAATGAGCTCCTCCCGCGTAAGCCACTTTCCATAATAATGACTACTTTGGTAGTATGGGTTTGTTTCCCATTGATTTTCGACACTCTTATGCATCCAAATACATTTCATAGAGGGCATGCACAAAATCTTCTTTTTATTGACTTTGTCAGCCACCGCACCCCTGACCATCTTTATCTGACCAATGGAAATGAGGTAGATGTTTCAAAAAAGTCAAGTTGCACACAGGTCGCTACCGCGCCATCGAAATTATCGCATCATCATCGTCGCCTAAATCGGCAGTGTCAAACAGGACTAGGGTTTTAGGAAATATAAGTAGTATTAGCCTGTAAGCTCTATGAACGTTGCGCGCATCCGATAGCAAGAAGGCGCTTTTGTCGTTGGGGTTGTTGAAGGTGGTATGACCGACAACACGAAGATTTCCAAATCAGAGGTCAGGAAGGACGGACTGGATTGGACAACCTTTACTGATGAGAAGGTGCGTACCAGAGGTCCTGCAAGCCTTTGTCGCCAGCTGTCTCTCCAGGCTCGTTCTCTGTCTGTGTCCGCCGTTGAGGTTATTGACCCCCCAGTGCATGTGTGCACCTTTACTCTCTCCCAGTTAGCGTGCGCCAGCCAATCAGAGAAGGGGCAGCGTTGATTGGCTTTAATCTCTCGCGAGGCTAGTGACAAGCCTCGCGCGGCCCCAGCCGCTAATCGACAGGGAGCGTGATGCGGACAGGAGGGCAGGTAGACAAGGCGGCGGAGATCAAGGGAGCGGACGGCCACGAGGCCGTAGAATCGCGTTACCTACCAAGGTAACCACACTCCATGCCTTTTTCATCTAAGAGGCCGCAATGTGCAGCAAGCCTTTTTGGCTTCTTCATCGACTTGTTCGCATTCCTCAACAGCTTATTCTCATTGTTTTTATGGATCTGTTATTGGCGGATTCTGTAATCTGTTTTATCCTTAAGTTTGTGCATTTTGACGTTTCACACTGGACTTGCTTCCCGCCCTTCTCGTTGTGCCTTGCACTTCAGATCCTAGATGCCTATTCCAAAAACGGATTCGACTTTCTGCTTCGCGTCTTTGATGATGCCAGCCACCTGGAGGTGGTGTCCGGTCTACATCAACTTCATCTGGAGACCACGTTCAATGATGTGCGTTACTTTCTGATGATAATTCTCGAAAGTTTTATAAATATCGTTCCTTTCGAAACGTTAGCTTACTTAAAATGTTTAGTTTTCAAGTTTATCCTTAACTCAGTTTGTCCAACCTTTAACACCCTGCGAACCATCCGAAGCTGAACAGGTCTGTTGAGCGCATTCGTTCGATCCTATGTGAGCTGCATTCCTAGTTGGTATATCATCCAGTCTCATCATTGGTATAGCATTTTTGCAGCGTTTTACTGCTCCACCCAACTCATCTTTGAAATTTTTTACTACTTAAGAAACTGGTGGGAGGTCTAGGGTGATGACTGGTAGTAATTGGGGTCGATTTTTCGGACATTTTGCGTCACGGGACCACTATTCACCGTTAACCCTAACTTGCCCACTCGTTAGAAATATCCGATTACCGTTGTATCCAGCTGGCCCTGGACCGGCATAGTTGAAGCCGAATAAGGATCACTTGCACAAGGATTATAAAACTGCCGAACGCATAGATGGAAGAAAACGCAAATTATAGGCCCCTTAGCGTTCAGGAATTGTTTTCTGACCTTCCCAACGCGTCACGCCCAGCCAGTTGCCAAAACGTTCGGTGGGACATGGTCATATTGTAAGTGGCTTTACGCTAAACTCCAGAGCCGGGATTAGGTTTCGCGTCCAAGTTTGCACACGGAAACAGGTATCCCTGGAATCCAGCAAAAGGCCACCTGTAGTACAGGGCGTACCTATTTCCGTGTCCAATCGAAAATTCCATGTCTGGTTGTTCTTAGCTTTGTTTTCTCGCCATCCCTCTCCCACCATTTTATAAACTGTTCCAAATTCGTGTCCCGGGATTTGTCAGCCTACTCATGGCCATACATCTAGTCCATCGCCTCCGCAAAGATCCATTCCTAATGGAGGTTGACCTGTTCGTTACAGAGCTCTCTTTGGACCTGTCAGATTGTGAATAATACCAGCGCAATTCTCACAGCATTTGTGACCATTCTTACAAGGACGGCTTATTACTTCACTTGGCGGGTGCACAAAATATGATTTTAACAATGATGAGCTTCCTCCTAGGCCACGGCTTTAAATTACCTCATAAGGCGGGGCGTACGAGTTTGGTGCTGGTAGACCCTTCGGATTAAGTACTTAACGCACTCCGAGGTATTACCAGTGAGTGCAAACTATGCCTACATTACGATTGGCTGGGTGAATTTTACAGAACCAACCGGCGATCGTTACAGGCGCTCACCACACTTACTCACTGTCAATACCTTATCAGGTATAATTGTTTGCCTCTCCAACAATACATTCGATGGTAGACCATCGCTCAAGCAGTGTACACACTTTTCGACAATTACTGGAACCAGAATGTTCCCTTCTCTCCAAAACTGGATTTAAGGAAAACGCATAGTTCCGTGAAGCGTCCTCATGGACATTCAAGGCACATCAAAGGCCATTCGATTCGTTACTATGTCTACTTAAAAGTCCAGTCAAAACGCTATGTACGATGTATTCGTAAAATGGCGCACCGGGCCGTCCGGCTGAAACTCCTCCACCAAAATTTTTCTCCGTTAAATTTTCACTTTTGGTTTGTGTTAATGACGCCGATTCCCAGCAATACAGGTTCTTCTTAATCCTCATGTGTATGTCTGAGTTTACCATGACTTTTGTCATCACATTTTAGGTTCTTGTTCTCAGCGACAATGACGACGACGACGATTGAAGTGCCCACTTAAATCAGGTCTTTTTCTACCTCAATTTGACTGCACACTTCCCCTCCCCTCGCGTTCGTTCCCTTACCTGTGATACTTCTGTTGCTTACCTTTTGCGACCCCGGACTGATTAATGTCTTCTAAATCAAATATTTTTCGTAATGGCCACTGTTTGACATTTGTCCTTCACTATCCTTGGGCGGCGTTGCTCGATCTTCGCCTAGCACATACCCCTCCAAAAAGTGTCCCAGTACTTACAAAGTGCTTATATAGCACCTTAATTTTTCTTATGAAATTGCTTATTAGATTCACAGATTCGACAATGTTGTCCGCTCAATGAGGGCCTTCTGCATGTCTCTGTGCTCCTTAGAAGCTCTGTTATTCTGGTTCAGGGGTGTCGGCGACAAGGTTGCTCGTGCGTATCACGCCCAGAAAAAACACGTTACGCAAATTATCGATGTCAGGAAATAAAGCACTTTTTCGTAATAACACCTTTCGGAGTCAACCTCGAGACTGTGACGAATACCAGCAATTTCTACAGAATAACCGCTTAATATCCAAACCTGTCAGCAGACAGAACCACTGTTGCCGGCATAAAGTCGTCAGATGAAGGGACGGCACCGGAGAAACACGTGTGTAGAATTTCAGCAAATACTATATTGTAAGCAGAAAGATCTCCCCTATATATACAAAACTGAGTGGTGATTTGTCGAAGGCGATCGTTCACCTGTCTGTCATCTAGGAAATCACTAAATGGAGACTCTTGGAAACCTGAGAAGTAAGATAGTTGTCACGGTCCACGCGAAAGGGGGGGGAGGTAATTAATGCCAGAGCAGGTAAAGCTGTGGTACAAGACTGTTTATAACTTCGGGCATATCCTCCTGTGTTGGGCGGATGCCGTTCAATCGTCCGCCACCGGCCACAGCCACTTCTTGATGCTTCCCCCCTGTCACCTTAAGAATATCGCTGATTAGCGAGACTCGTCGCGTTTGTCGCAGCAGGTTATCACGCAGCTCAGGAGGTAGATTG